TCTAAAAAAATTAAAAATTAAGTAAATGCATTATAATTGATAATAAATATTATTAAATATATTTAATTTTTATAAATTTCAAAAAATCTTAAATATTGTTCATTTAAATTTATTATTAAATATATTTATTGCTTTAAAAATTTTTAAAGAATTCTTAAAATTGTCTATTTAAAAATTCTTTAAATGCATGACAAAAATCACAAAATTGGTCCAACTTTTTTTAAAAAAATTTTAAAGTGAGATTTTTTTTTATCTATATATGACAAGATTTAGTTTTTTTGATATTATTGTACAATAAACAAAAAATACAAATTGTTAGAATTTAAATTACAATATTTAAATAATTTTTACTAAATTCAAATTATTTATTCTCAGGTGACAAATTTTTATTTAATTAAATTGTGTAAATAATATAAATTAATTTTTTAAAATTTAATCAAATTTTAATTTAATATCTAAAATTAATTACATTTAATAATATTTATTATTTGTTATAATATATTAACTAAAATTTTTAAAATTTTAACAAGTGTTATAAAAGTAATATTAAAAAAATTAATATTAAAAATTAGAGAAAAGTTTAAGGGTGATATAGTAATTATTTTAACGGTATTAATTTTCAGGTGAATAAATGTACATTATATAATTTAGAAAGTAAATAGGACATAGAAAATTTTTTGAGAGAATAAATTGATTTTTACCCCTTTTATTTTTCTCTGTAACTCCGTTTTCTAATTATTTCGATTTTTTCTCAAACATTATTCCCCTCTCAGCGGATAATATAGGCCAATTGCCAAGCTGACACTCACAAGGGCATCATGTAATTTTTAAAAACTCTGACGAATTTATTTAATACAAAAGAGTACAAACTACGCCAATAAAATCATTTTCCTTTTCCAAAAGCCCTCGCCGTTGATGCCTCCATAATAACCATATTCCTCCCATTACCTCCCATGGTTCATGCTTTAACAGCAATTGCAAAGCCACAACCACTTCTTTTTTTTTTTTTTTAATAATCTTTTGGTCGCAAGAAATAATACTTTCTTGGACATTTTCTCCTATCTGAGTAGGACAACTCTGAAAAATTGCATTGTAAGAGTTGGACCCACTGCATCGAAGTAAAACCATGAGAATTGATCCCAGAAAATGGATCGTTTCTTACAAGGGCTCCCTCATTTCAATCCCGTCACGGAAACGAGACTCCTCGAATCCAAACCATGAACCCAGAAAAATGGGTTTTCTCATTTTTTGTCCTTCTCCTCTTCAGATATTGCATCTCTATTGATAAAATAACTCCAACCCGACCGTAAGGGACGCAGAGGTCATCGTATCCGGCGGCGAAAGCTTCGTGCTAGGCTTCTTTAGTCCCGGAAAATCTAGTCTGCGGTTCGTCGGAATATGGTACAACAAGGTCTCGGAGCAGACCGTTGTGTGGGTGGCAAACAGAGACCGACCCATCAACGGAACCGTCGGAGTTCTTTCCATCGGTGAAGATGGTGACCTAACTATCTACGGCAGCGATCAGAGCACTCCAATCTGGCAAACTAATGTTTCCGCCGCCTCCACAAGGAACGGTTCAACTGCTCGGCTCTTGGATTCGGGGAATTTGGTGTTGTTTCGAGGCAACGATGAGAGGGAGATAGCGTGGCAGAGCTTCAATCATCCCACCAATACTTTGCTCCCAGGTATGAAGTACGGGCTCGACAGGCGTACCGGTCTGGACCGGTTTGTGACGTCTTGGAAATCCCGGACGACCCAGGTACTGGAGAATACTGCCTTCGGGTGGACACAATCGGGTCGCCCCAGTCAGCGCTGTACAGGGGCTCCACCCTTATATGGCGATCTTTACCATGGGTCGGGTATCTTTGGAGCGGTGAAATCGAGACAGGCACTCAGGTTATATTCAACACAACTCTAACTGACGATGGCAATGAAGTCACTAGTGCGTATAGTTTAGTCAATCCATCTATAGTATCCGCATTGTTCCTGGATGAATCTGGGTACCTGCAAATGCTCACGTGGGTCAAGAGCAGTCAAACATGGGTCAGGTTCTATGAGGTGCCTGATGATAAGTGTGAATATTACAGTCATTGTGGGCCGAACGGTTTTTGTGACCCGAACAACGGGCATGACTTCGAGTGCACATGCCTTCCTGGATATGAGCCCCATTCAGCGGCACAATGGTACGTGCGAGATGTTTCGAGTGGCTGCGTGAAGAAACGGATTTGGTTATCCATGTGCCATAAAGGGGAAGGGTTCGTGAAGATGTCAATGACAAAAATTCCGGATACGTCCACAGCTCAGATCGGGTCAAACATGAGCCCGAAAGATTGTGAGAAGGAGTGCTTGAGGAATTGTTCTTGCACGGCTTACACGGCCGTACATGGAGGCAAGTGCTTAATGTGGTATGGGAATTTAATTGATGTAAGAAAGTATTCAACTCGGGGTATCGATTTGTACGTTCGGGTGGATCGAGTTGAACTAGGTACACGATTATTTCTTTTTCCCTTTTGCATAATACACTAATTATATTTCATTGCCACTCTTAGACGTTACCTATCAGCTGGTTGTGATTTTAGCCACGTACTCATACTACCAAAAGAAAGTAGAAAATGGTGGTTAATTTTGCATAAAAATTAATTTTTAACCATTATTATTTAAGTGTACAGCGGTTCCATCAATCGCCGAAATCGCATCCATATTTTAATATAAAACTACAATTCAAGCACAACCGTAGTACAAATTATCATAATATAAAATGGTAAACTATAAAAGTGCTATTGTAATTTATGACAACTAAATTATAGTAGTTTGAAACAACATGGTTTTTTCTTCTTCATTTCAGCTCAATGGACGCCAAAGAAGTCCCAAAGTTCTCATGGAAAGAAGGTGGTCATAGCTGTGTCATCTGTTGTTGCCATAATCCTCTTGATTCTCTCTGCATTGTTTTGGTTTGTAACTAAGAGGATAAGAGGTAGTATTTTGATTTTCCTATATTCATTTTGCAATTGCTAGTATTATTTTCCACACTCATCTTAGAGATTTAATTCAAATTTGATATTTTCTTTTCAAACTTTATTCTGTTTCAGGACTCAACAGCAAAGATAACAAAGAAGAAAATCTAGAACTCCCCATCTTTGATATGAATAGTATTTCGTATGCAACTAATAAGTTTTGTCATACACATATAATTGGAGAAGGTGGTTTTGGCCCTGTTTATAAGGTAAGTTTGATTATTTGATTGTTACAAAATTTTTGCTAAAATTTAGAAGTGTCATGTAATAGATCTTACATTGATTACAACAGGGTCAGTTGTCAAATGGAAAAGAATTAGCAGTAAAACGGCTGTCAACAAACTCTGCACAAGGTCTAAATGAATTCAAGAATGAGGTTATTTTGATAGCTAAACTTCAACATCGTAATCTAGTTAAGCTTTTGGGATGTTGCATCCACAAAGAGGAAAGAATGCTGATTTACGAATACATGCCCAACGGAAGCTTGAATTATTTTATTTTCGGTTTGTCCTCTCAACCATGATTTGTATTATTCTAATTGATTGAACTAATATATCTGTTCAATTTGAGAAATATGCTGAATTTGCCCTACTATAAAGATTTATTATAGCATGAACGATCTATGCAGAAGCCTTAGGCCACTTGATTTGTAACAGGTGTGGAGAACTTGAGAAAGCGGCTTACATGGAGGTGTCGGCTGGATATTATCGTGGGGATTGCTAAAGGTGTTCTTTATCTTCATCAAGACTCGAGATTGCGAGTTATTCATAGAGATCTAAAAGCTAGCAATGTGCTACTTGATAGTGAAATGAATCCTAAAATCTCAGATTTTGGCACAGCCAGGGCCTTTGGTGGCAATCAATAATCAGCAAAAACAAAAACGGTCATTGGAACTTAGTAAGTTATCTTCTCTCTCCTTTTTTGACCCACTTAATCACATTGTTAAAGTTTGAGCAATCGGGCAGTAAAGTTCGTTGGGACATATTCCCAGCTTATTTTTAGGGTTCAAATTTTGAGAATCATTTGTAATGACTCGAGAGTTACTAACTCAAATAATTTGTTCAGTTTGAATAATTGACTCAAAATATTTAAGTTCAAATTATTTAGTAAGAGAAATGATCAACTGACATTAAGTGTATGTGTAAAAGATTTACATCAAATTTTACACGTTGATTTGGTCAAAATCAACAGATGAGACTAATTACAACTATCTTCCAGTAACTTCCAATAATTAATGTATAGTTAATTAATCTCATCCGTTGATTTTGACCAAATCAACAGTGTAAGATTTGGTGTAAGTCTTTTACACTTATACTAGTATCAATTAATCCCTTCCCATTTGGTAATACTCTCTAATCTCTTATATAATATATCATATCATTCTTAAAAATTGATGTGGGATGGTAAATCGCAATAAATTCTGTCCCATATCGATTTCTAAAAATGATATGATTTATTATATAAGAAATTAAAGACTACTACTAAACGATATAGATTTAAGTATTTTAAATCAATGGTACAAGCTCAACACATTGTGTGGGTCAATAACTCTTGGGTAATTTTAAATGGAAAAAAATTGGAGCATTTCTCTCCTCTTCTTAGAATAAATTTCAACCAATGATAAATTTTTTTTAAAAAAAACACATTGATAGAGTTTATTTTACACTAATTTCTAGTTTCCTTGAAAACTATTTACAGTGGTTACATGTCTCCAGAATACGTATTTGACGGCCTCTTCTCCGTAAAGTCAGATGTTTTTAGCTTTGGGGTTATAATTTTGGAAATAATTAGTGGCAAAAGGAATAGAATGATTCATCATCCAGACCATGATCTTACCCTTCTTGGACATGTAAGTTTAATGACAAAAATTATTTCTTTTGCCAAGTACTCTTGCCTAATATATTTGATATGTTTTAGGCATGGACACTTTGGAATGAAGGAAATATTTCAAAGCTATTAGATCCACTTGTGGGGGATCCCATTCCCATGGCTGAGCTGATAAGATTTGCACTAGTTGCTCTCTTATGTGTGCAAAAATGCCCTGAAGACAGGCCAATCATGTCCTCTGTTCTCTTGATGTTGATTACTGAGACCGCAACACTGCCCCAACCCAAGAAACCTGGCTTTTATGCAGAGTGGAAGCCCAATGTATCAGACAATTTGGCTAACAAAAGCGCTTGTAGCACCAACGAAGTGAGTATGACACTACTGGAGCCTCGGTGAAACACATTTTGTCGATCTACAAATTCTTTACCAAGTTTCTGTTTTATATATAATTGCTCATTCGATTGACTACTATTGAATATATATAACATGTGAATACTACGAGAATTGAAAGGCTTTTATTGTGGGTTCTTGTTAAATTTTGAAAAAGGTTCATAAATTTTGAAAATGTTAAAATTGTGACTCGGTGGGAAAAAATGGTGAATTTTTTGCTTTTTTTATTGGTGGAATTTCAGATTTTTTGTTTTTCCAACGTTGGACAAATGATTAGCCCTTAAACTTTCAACTAATTTACACAAATAGAAACCCATCATTTTTAAATTTTTAGCATATGTCTGGTCCTAAGACATTTGATTTGAGTTATTTTTAGACCCTTCTTCGTTGGAATGAATCAGTCAATAACTTTAGAAAAGGCAAGTTGGCTATGGCTTGGGTTCCAAATCCATTTTTGATCTAATATTATCATTCTTAATTTTAGTTTGAACAATAAACGTTTGATTTGTTGTCCCAAAAGGTAATCCAAGAGAGGGGTGAATTGGATTTTTATCGCAGAAGTTAAGAGTGTGAAAAAATTAAAAATAATAAAAATATTGAATCAAATAAATTTATACAATTCACCCAATAATAAATATAAAACAATTTTAAGTAAAGTAAATAGAGTAGGGATAAAAGATGTAAACTCTTTTATAATGGTTCGACTTGCTATCCAAGTCTACATCTACTTTCTCGAGCTCCAACTAGCCGAGGTTTCACTAAGTTTCTTACACTTGACGAGATAAGAAATCCCGAGTACAAATAAAGTCTCTTGCACTTGGCAGAGGCAAGAAATCTCGATTACAAAACTTTTAATTCGGTGAGTTTCCAACACCAATACAAATAGTAATGAAGATGAAATAGAAATGTAGCAATTCCTCTTAAGTAATATTAGCTACCACTCATGTACAAAAATGATCTTACTTTAAAGAGGCACTCTCAAGAATAAAACAATTACTCTATGCACTCTTTGATCTAATAATAAACAATGAAGTACAAATAATTTTAGAGAGAGATTGATGAGATTTTGAGAGCTTGTTGTTGTATCTTTCTCCCTTCAATCTAAACTCCTTCTATAGGCAAAAACACCAAAGAGACGTTGGCCTTTGTGAAAGACAAAATCATTTGTCAATTATAACTACATATTGGCTCATTTGAAAAATTCAAATAAAATAGCTCCAAACTTCCAAAAACTCTTTAAAAATTCTTGAATACTCCTCAGTGAGTCTATTTTTAAATTCAAAAAGAATCATTAAATTTTAGTACGCCGTTTGAGAGAAATGATCAAAAGTTTATTGACATATCAGACTGTAAAAATGCTTTTGTCAAAAGTTGTTGGCTAAGTTCAAAATTGTTTAAAAATTTGAATTTGTATTTAAAAATAATAAATTATATATTGTTGAAAAGCTTATAACATCTAATTTCATTCAAAATTATATTCGTATAAATTTGACTTTTATATTTTGAGATATGATAAAAATACTGTAATATACTTATTTTGTCTGCTAACAGTGTAACTTAGCAGAATAACCCACTTTGAAAAATTATATCTATCAATCTATAAGTGTAAAATGTGCAAATAATATATGCATTTAAAGCTCAGCATGTCTATTTTACAAATAAAATTAATTTAGAATTTTATTTATGTCATAAATTATATTTTACTAATTAATACTAATATGGTGCAGATTTCAAAAATAATTTTTTTATAAAATAATATATGAGATTAATATAATAAATTGCTTTAATATAAAATAATATATAAGATAAATTATACATCAAAATAAAAATATTTGAATATAGTTTCATATAAAATTGATTTTATAATTTTTTGACTTTTCTATAATAAAATATAATTAATTTACTACACATATGTCTAATTTGACAGTTTCACAATTTAGCACATGTAGTGTATGTAGTTAAATAATAAATTTAATATTATAATTTGTTCATATTGTCCATTTATATAATATATATAAATAATTTTAATTTGTTTTGTCATTATCAAAATAAATATGAAATTTTGAGGTTAACATGATTATCTTATGAGTAATTAGATAAATATAATTGCTTTAAATAATTTTAAATTAAATTAGACATGTACTTATGTAATTTTTTGAGAGCTGTGTAACTCTAAATAAATAAAAATCCAACTACTTAACTATTAAGTTCGAAATAAAAATTTTATAGTTTCTGCTTATATCTCAGTGAAATTAATGTATCACTAAATCAATTTTGTTTTGAAATTAATTCTTTTTGGACTAGGAGTGTGAAAAGTTAAAATTCTCCCTGATAAGTATGTTTTGAAACACCTGACTAGTATTTTTACTCTTGTTGAAATAATGCCACTTATTATCCTTACATGAACACTTGTTGATTAGTTTATGCTTATGTTAAGTAGAACACATTGAGATCACTTTTAAGAATTGATCCAAACTTTTTTGTTTAATGGGTCAACCTAGTTGGATATGCTCAAATATTCTTTGAGCCCATTTCTCTGCTCCAGCCCAAGTTTCATGCTTTTTCATTTTTTAATTTTTTTTGATAACAATAAGGGTCCAAGGCCCAACGAGAAAAAATTACACAAATGAGTCACGGGAAGTAAGGATTCTCAAAGAGTCAAACTGGAGATGCTTCCTAACTTGCCAAAGAGGAGTTTCCCAAACGAAGGTTCCAAATTCGTTTGATAGGCTTAGTTTAGCTAAACAATCAGTACAAGCATGTGCCTCCATGTTAATACAACTGAACACCCCCTACCAATCTTGGTTCACAAGACCAATAATTCTGTAAATAATGGAGAGACAAGTAATAGTACAAAGTTGATGTCCCTTAATCATTCCAACCACGAGCTCAGAATCCAACTCCACAAGTATCTTCTTAAAGCCAAATTCCAAGCCATTTTCAGGCCTTCCCACACTCCCCAAGCCTCAGCAGTTATCGCATCTGAATATCGAATATTCCTAGTAAAACCTTTGATCTATACTCTGGCTTGGTTCCTAAGGAGGTCCCCACAACCAGCTTTAACATTTTTCATGCAAGATGCTCCATTTGTATTGAGCTTGATCTATCTCGACTTTAGCGGAGACCACCAACGCAAACACCTAATAATAGCAGCCCTCTTCTGATCATTAGACCTAATTGCCTGGCAAGCTGAAATCTACCATTTTATTACCTTGATTGGCTCTCTAGGCCTAAGGAAATCTTTTGCAAAAATTCCTTTGTTCCTCAAATTCCAGATATTCCAAATAGTAATAGCCCAAACATTTGCCCAACCAAATCTTTGTTTCACTTTGTTTCTTAAAAGGTTAACTGAGCACCACTCTTGAAAATCCAAATAGAAAAATAAAGGTCTTAAGTTGAAAGGGATTAGCTTCAGCCAAACTCTAGCTGCCACTGGACAATCTCTAAGGATGTGCAAGATAGTCTCAATTGGAGCACCACATTCATTATAGCCCTTGTCACATCCGCTCCATTTTGTCCTTCTTTCATTTGTAAAAGGTCTATCCTAAATAGTTAACCACACAAAATTCCTCATTCTTTCTGTGATCCCTAGTCTCCAAATTTTACTCCAAATCCTTGGCTGCTCTAACCTCCTAATACCCTGTATCATCTCATAGGCACTTCTAATGCTAAAATTGCCTCCTTTTTCACCAAGCCAACAAATGGCATCTGAACCTTGATCTTGAGCCGGAGGGGGAATGGCTTGAATTTTAAGAACCATAGCCGGATTAATGAGAACTCCCAACAACTGCCAATTCCACTCCCTTTTAGAATCTATAAAATCTACCACCTTAAGCATTCCTTCTTCTCTAAGCTCTCCTATTTTATGATCAATTAATTTGCATCTAGGTTCAACCCAGCAATCAAGCCAGAAGTCAACTGACCTACCATCACCCACCTTCAAGACTCCAGATTTGTCAAATAATCCTGTCACGCCCCAATTCAGGGGTATGACCAGCACTAGGGTCAGCTCACCAACCCCAGTCAGCCTACTACCAAGTCGAAACAAAAAGTATTGCAGCAGTACAGACATCGAAATACAGGTGTGTATATATATATATATATATACGTCAAAAGGGTTTGAGGAATACAAGGAGCTACTAAACTACAAATAACAGAAATGATACAAAAGTGCCCGTACATCACAATGAAGCAGTGGAGGACAAAATCGGCCCAGAAGCTACCGCTGCGATCAAAACAGCAATCTGAAAGGGGGAGGAAAGGAATGAGTATAAAACTCAGTGAATAACAATAAAATCTAGACAAAACGGGACATGGATCACAGTTTACAAAATTCACATATGTTTGTATAACACATACAGGTATAATATATGCATGTCGTTCACACACACAAAAATCAGAGGCAGAATGTCAAACACATGTCGGAGTATCGGATCTCATCAGAAATCATATCATACTGAGATCCCGTATCAGAACCAAAGCCAGAAATCACAGATGGCACATAGTGCCAGAACACCCCCGTGTTCCTCAGAAATCGGATCACAAAGACTCTCGACAGGTAACCTTTAAATCACATGCATGACTGAGGCACACAAATGTATAAGTACAGAAATGTTTCTAAAATCATCATAATTTAAAACATATAGATACATGTCCCGAATTCTAATATCAGAAGTCAGAAATCAAGTCCAGGAATCAGAATCCAAGAATTTGTCAGAAAATCAAAATACAGATGCATGTATAGAAAATACTGTCACTCACCTGGCACGCTAAACGAGACACTAAAACTCATGCCAATGGCTCACTGCTCGAAGTATGTCTCCTCCGAAGTATCTACAATCACCAAATTGAAAGTCAAAATCGAAATCGGGTCTTATTCTAAAAAAGACTCAACTCTGGAAAGTGGGCTGGGACCTCCCCCGTCACCGGGCCCTTTTTCACGCATCTTGAGACCCCTAGGCCTCATACTCGAACCACTCTAGGCTTGAACTATTAAAACCTGAATT